CTCTCAGACAGACCGACGAGCTGAAGCCGCTCAGACAGAACTGGACCTGTGCTGCGTTCAGGGGCCTCTCACTAAGCTCGGAATTCAAAGCTGCGTTTAGCCAGCTGCCCTCTGCATCACACTAAGTTCTCTTAAAACACAAATATTTCAGCTCACTCAGCAGAAACACAGATTTACTAAACAAAGACGCAGACTGAATGTTTTCTTAAACACAGAGTTGTTAAAAATATCCTTATGTTGTCTAAAACTGGTCAGTAAATACAGGCTACAGTTACACTGAGCAGACTTGTTATAGAGCTGTATAAAACATAAAACTCTAATCTGAATAATGGATGTATTTTTTAAACTTAGATGTAAAAGGAGGAAAAACTGAACAGAGGCCAAATATACACTGTAAAAAAATGAAATGTTGGATTTACTTAACCATGTTATGTTACCTGGTTCCACTTAACTGAGTTGAGTAAATTCAAAGCAATATACCAGTTTTTCAGCCAAAGAACATGAATATGTTGCTTTGAATTTACTCAACTCAGTTAAGTGGAACCAGGTAACATAACATGGTTAAGTATATCCAACATTTCAGCCACCAAGACACCCCCCCCACCCCCGGCTCCGCCCCCAGCAGTGGATTCACTATATATTTCTCCTTTTGTAATGTCACCCCCACCAGCTGGAACATATAAACATAACTTCTGCATATGTTTTGCACACGTATTTACTAAGTAAACACATCACCAACAAATATAATTTCACAAATCATGTTCTAATCAATTCAAATTTTATTGAAGACCCTGAACCCTGGTCCATATTTAAAAAAAGAATGAAGAAAAAGAAAAAAGTAAATGAATAATAAAAAAAATGTTAAAAGTGCAATTGGTTTGACAAGTTATCACACTGTATTTGTTGCAAATACAATCTGAAAACTCTCTAAAATGTGGACCTAATTAAATATTTTCAATGTTGTAAACGATCTTACTGCGTTCGTTCTCCAGCATTCAGTCGCTGCCAGAGCTTGGACAGGTGGTGATGACAGCTTCCTGTTCTGGTGTGAGGAGAGCCTGTCTCAAAACCAGAGGCTGGATAATTACACCTTAAGGCACCATCAAGGGGACTCAGTTCAGCTGTAAGGGGGCTTCACAACGAGTGTAGTGTGTAGTGGGTAGGGTGAAGGAGGAGCCACTGTGGATGCTTGTGCTGCCTCAGTTTAGCTTAAAAAAGTTTAGTTTAAAGGTAAATGTTTTCCTTCTTGCCTTTGTGGACACATACGCAACTACATGTAAAAGGAAATATACATATTACATTACATTACACATAATATACGTATTTAAAAACAGTAAAAAGTTTTTTTTAATTAAAAAAACAGTAAAAATGCAAATTATGTGCTAAAGTATATAATTTATTGGAACTAAGCTGGAAAAATTAACATGAACATCAATTAAATTATATAACATGAGGTAAGGTTTTTCTTTTTCTAATTTAATTGGTGCATTTTAGTGTATTTATTTATTAGACCATTTACATATTTTGGCTTTTATTTCTAATTATGTCAGTTTCGGTCCTCCATGATATGGCTCATTTGATAGTAAAGGTTGCAGATCCTAACCCTGGACAGGTTTGATCAGACCAGATTATGTAAAAAAATATAAACCTCCAGAGGCTGAGAAAAATCGTTACGTTATTTTTTTACAGTAACTAAATTTTTAGATGTTTAAACCTTTTTATTATATTTAATTTACATGATCTGTAATGCATGAATGCTTGTTTTATTGTTAAATTCTGTTTTTACTATTTGTGTTCAAAATTTAAATTCTACCTAAAATACACATCAGTTTATATTTATTTGTACTTGTATTATTTTTAGCATTACCAAAATATTTAAATTGTTCTTATCTACAATCTCTCTGCTGCGTCATACTTATATACTTTATTTATAATGCTTTAAAGACCATTTTCAAATTCTTGTTCCATTTAGCATCTCAACATAAACACAAATACACAAGGAAAAAACACCACAGGGTGCAAATGAAGGAAAATATTTCTTCCGGTTTATTCATCGGCTTTCTTAGACACGTGTTGAAGATTATATGAACTTTTTGACAAATGGCTGAATACACCGATGTAACATTCTTTAAACACACAGTTGCATCTTCATCATGCATATAGCTTTTCTTAAACATCTTTTAAACCAGGAGGAACTGGCAGAATAAATCACCCTCAGTATAAACATTTTTTTTCTCTATTCTCTGTGACACAAAATGGTTTTAGTTATAAATCTAACAAAAAGACATTTAGACAAACAAAACCACAAATGCACAGCAGTATGTTTTTTCAGATGTACTGCCAAAATAATAGGCTTCTCCTTATTCTTTTCATAGCTCACAGTGCTTTTTTACATTCTTTTATTATTCTCTCACAAACAAAATCCGAACATTTAGTTTTAATATCGTCCTTTACACAGTGAACATGTTTAGATTTAGACAAGAAAGCTCTTCACTCATTTGGCATTTTTCCCTTTAAATAAATTCAGCGCACATTTAAGAACGACAGGACAAACTCTCAGTCTACAGATCTGCAAAGTCACCAAGCACTCGGCTTATTCTCTCACTATTTAGTGTTTTCTGCGTTAATAGATGTGCGTCTCGGTGCTACTGGAAAAGACTTTGTCGTATAGAATAATGCCGGCTGCAGAGGTGAACAAAGTCAGTTCTGTTCAGTCATGATCTCTATGTGTTTCTAAGCGCCTTCTTGTTGGGTCAGTTCTTACTGACGGCACGTTCTGCAGCTCAGGGTCACCTGCTGATGCTTGCTGCTACCAGAGACAGCAGGTTTATCGCCAGACAATTGGAGAGACGAGAGGCTGAGCCACATTCCATGGCATTTTCCTGCATGGGACATAGAGTTTTAGATTTAAACCTGTTATTAAACACTTTGAAATACTGTTGCTTTTCAGGAAATGTGTTGGACTTGGGATAGGTTAAAGCATTAGTTAAGTTTTGTTGGAATATGGTTGACTGCAGACATATTAACAATTATTATCTTACCTGCTGCAGATAGCTCTCAGAGTTAATTTCTGTCTGACTGATGAACCAGTGGCAAATCAAAGTGGACTGCTGTTATTTTAAAACAATCCCAGTCATGTTTATACAAACGTTTCCTTTAAATTGCCATCAGTTCCACATCACGTAACTACACTGAAAAAAATAGCCATGTAATAAGTTAAATAATTCTAGATTATAGTCTAAACCTGATCAAATTAAGAGAATAATTGCCATTGCAGTAAGACAATTGCACTTGGTAAGATTTCTTGAAATAAGGAAACATTTCCAGGCTGAAAGATTAATAATCTAACCTCTTGCTTAGTATATCAGTCTCAAAACAAGATCAAAAATACTTCTTGGCTGGATACGGTTAGATGGACACTTTTTTGCAGTGTACTGAGGCAAAACCATTAATGTATTCCTACCAGAGTAAAGTAAAGTAAAGTAAAGTAAAGTAAAGTAAAGTAAAGTAAAGTAAAGTTTTTTTTACATAGCGCCTTTCACAAAAATAAATTCACAAGGTGCTGTACATTAAAAAAGTGCTGTACATTCAGGAAAGGAGGAGGAGGCAGTTAAGAAACATCCATTCAAGAGGACATACATGACAAACATAGGGGAACAGGTGAAACGGGTCATGCAGCAAACACAGTTGCGCTGCCTTTAACAACAGAAAAACTAAAAACCACATAAGGGAAGATGAGGAAAAAAAATCCATCATATTGTATCAACAATGTGACACACTATGGTGTTTATAATAATAATAAGAAGAATAAAAAAACAATAAAAAAGGTGCTACAGCCTGCAGCTGCAGCTGCTTGTGTTTGCAAATAACAATAGAATCTGATGAAAAGAACTGCAAAAATGCAAAACAGATGTGGTGGTAAATTTCCTAAAAACATTTGCATTTGATTTAAGACTCCAACTTGTTCTTCTGCAGTCAGATTTAAACACTTTGACATCAAACCAGACGTGTCAAATCCTGGTCCTCGAGGGCCGCTAACCTGCAGGTTTTAGAGGTTTCTCTGCTCCAACACACCTGACATGAATGAATGGGTGATTAACAGGCTTCTATAGAACTTGAAGATGTAATGCAGTGACTGAATTAGGTGTTGGAGCAGAGAAACGGATAAAATATGATATAGTGGCCCTTAAGGACCAGGACTGGACACTTTTGCTCTAAATTGAGTTTGTTTAAAAATGATCTGCAACAGGTAAGATATTGTTTCCTAAACTTTCCATGGAACCGCATGTCAAAATAACTTTTGTCATTTTTATTGTTGTTTCTAAAATTTGAAGACAAATCCAGAACATTTTTTTAAACTCAAGCTTTTTTTTTTACACAAAGTTGTGAAACAAAAACCAGATCATTAAAATGATAAGTTTACTTCTGTTTAGTCTCTGAGCTTTAGAGAAGAGGTTTTCATTGATTATTCACACACCTCAGGGTGGAAAGGATGACACGATTCTGGCTTTTTTCTGTCCTTCTGAAGCTTCAGTCTGTCACATTTTAACGACTCGTTGTGTTCAAAGGAGTCAAGGATGAAAATGGAAATTTAAGCACAAAACATTGGGACAAAAAGAAACACTTTGATTTATAACTTAAACATGACAAAATCCCAAACTTGAATTAACCTTTCAATGGAAATTTTGTTAAAAAATTGAGCATTTTATACAT